TTGGAACTTTAACAACATGAGGTGGGATCCCAGTAACCGGAACAGCTCCACTGGGAGGAAGATTCTTACTAGTCACAGATGCCCAAGAAAATGTCTAAGGAAACAATATCATTATTATGTGATTACGCCATGCATCAAAACAATGTAAGTCATTAACACCGATTTTCTATACATAATACATGCATCAATTTCTAATACTCTGTATAGAATTTATATGAATCTTGAGGTTCCGTTTTTCACCCTAGTTACAATTTAGTACTTAAGTTCCTTAGGACTGAATGTCAAGCATTAGGCGAATATGAGAGAGGCTTAGAGTCAAGCTAATTTGAGTCAATTTCAAGTTTGTAACCAAAGGAAATCCTCCAACACCTGTTATTCCTCACCTATAACAAAGCATCACCCTAATGACATCAACTTGAGAAACATACTGACCACCTTCTTTGATCTGTATCAAAACCACTAGATCCCATTCTACCCCCTTACTTACCCTCTCTCCATCTCACCAAGACCATTCTAATCTAATACATCATTTCCTTTTTAGCCATTAAATCTTGAAACAATCAACCCACTTTTCTACGCAAATGATAAAACATCATTTCTAGTACCACAAATTTTAAAATGGTGCCATCTAGTCAATTCTGACTCACAGTGGTCCCTGCAGGGCTTCCAAGGTGGAGCTGGTGGGTTTGAACAGCCAAACTTGTGGCTAGCCATCCACTGCTTATCCAATGCGACACCAGGATTGCCACTCTCTTTTAATTTTTTTTGGAATAAAGACCAAACTCTGAAAAATGGTCAGTGTAACATGATTTACCCTCCACTGCTCCAACTTTACAACTCTCCGTCCTGCTAAATCCTCATCCGAACACAGAGATTTTCCTTCTGCTCCTCTCTTACCAATACCACACACATTCCTTTCTTGAGGAGCATTAGCACTATGCTGCTATTGTGTTCGGACGACCAACTCTGTACAGAGTTCCCAAGAGCAGCTACAGGGTCAGAACTGACGACCCTATTGTTACCTGTCCAGTGCTTATTCCACTGTGCCATGCCAGTGCTCAAGACTGTAAGTGCTCCTAACAATTCTCATTTACATACAGCACCTGCTCTTGTTGATGGTAAGTGCCATAGAATCTGTTCCAACTCAAAGTGACCCTGTACAAGGTTTTCAAGGAGCAGCTGCTGGGTTTGAACTGCTGACCATGTGATTAGCAATCCAGTGCTTATCCTACAGTGCCATACCAGGAGTCCATATAGCATCTAATACAATAATAATGGAATGATTACCATCTTTTTCCTATTCAAGTATTAATTCCCTGAGAGTAAGACCCCTATCTGTTTGAGAGACTTCACAGATTTAGTCCCTATAATGGCACAAAGCAGGCATCTGAACTACTGAACTGTTGAAGAGTAATTAATCACACTGACTCCAAAAACACAGCCACTAAAAAACATTCCATCCCAGGAAATCAAACTCAAGGTTCTGGGAGTAATTCTGAAAGACATTAGTCTTTCAGCAGTTTGTTTCTATCATTACTGTGAGGTTAGCCACAACCCGGTACCATTTAAAAAAGAGAAGCAAAATTCTGTTCCTCCCTTTTATTTATTTTCAGAAAAGATACACCTATATTTTTTACTTGTACAATTTTTAGTTATTTTGAATTGTAAAAAACTTAAAAAGATGAAGGGACAATAACATGCTGATAAAGTAATACCCAGAAAGTCTGGACAAAGAGGTAGTCAAGTTTCCTTATGAAAAAATTTTTTACTTCTGATTTTATATGGCAATATGCATTTTAATTCTCCTTTGAGGCACATGTAACATTCAGGATATGTCTTTGAATCGCCAACATAAAAACGTACCTACACAATTCCACCAAACACTAAATTAGATTAGTTTTAAAAACAACTAAGAAGTAAAATAGAACTGAAGACATGTTCCCTACCCTCAAGTCTTCCTGTGCTGTCTGAGCTATGTCTGCAGGCGCTGGGGAAGCCCTCTGCTGAGTCTCCTCAGGAGCACTGTCTTCTAATACCGGCT